TGATAATAAGAGCCGCGTAGGATATACAGATGGAGACGGGGGAGACGAGAAGGGAGGGGAGTAGGGGAGATGAAGATACTGCATGATGAGTAGGAGCTTTTTTTTTAGGAAATGATTTGGTTGGTAGGGGGTGGGGGGGGGGTTGGTATGGTATGGTATGGTAGGGTTATGGTATATTATAGTCATCACTATACTACTACACTACTACACTACTACACTACTACACTACTACACTACTACACTACTACACTACTACACTACTACACTACTACACTACTACACTACTACACTTACACTATACCACCACGCTAGCATCAAGTCCTAGAATCCCAGCCAGCGTTGGAATCAAAACGTGTGTTGAAGTTTTCAGCGTTAGGTTTAGGCTTTGGGTTTTAGATTTGTTTTAAGCGGGAATAGTGCCGAGAAGTTGGCAGGAGAGGGTAGACGTTTTTTTAAGGGATTCAGAATACTTGAATGTTTGGGGAGGGTTTTGTAGGCTGTGCTGAAAGGACGGTTTTGTGGATGGTTCTATAAGAACAGGATCTAGTTATATATAGGACTACGCTAGACTAGCTGGGAATTTATGGGGGTTGGTATGGTTATGTGTTGGATTTGGTGATTTCTTTCCTGGTCATCCTAGACTTGCTACTTACTTTCCTAATCAACTTTCCTGGTCGACATGAAGCCATCTATCCCCTCAAAGGAAACCCGCTCTCAACAACTTATTCCCAAACTCAAGCAGATAATAATCCGCATACACCAACCCATGATCTCGATACTTCTTCGGCGCATCCGGATTCCAATTCGTCGTCGAATTCCTCAAAATACCATCAAACCCACTCTCCTTGAGACCAAGTAATCCAGCACTCTCACCACCATTCACACCCCCTGCCCCCTCACCCTCCCCAGGCCGCTCAAACGCCGCGTAATCACCATCATACGCCAACGCCAACACATCACGCACAATACCCAGCGCCTCGTCCAGGAAATCCGTTCCAGCAGCCATGCGCACCGCCTGCTCGCGCGGCAGCGCCGCCAACGCCTGGTGTACAATCAGCAATCCGTTTGCGGCAATCACGCCGGCGGAGGCATCGCGCAGCGGGCCCTTGCCGTCAAACTCTGGCGCCGCGGGGGGAAGCGGGGCGTCAAAGTCCCAGAGGGGAACGCGGGAGGCGGGCCAGCGGCCGCGGGCTTCGTCGAGGCGGCGGAGGAAGTAGTGGGCGCAGCCGATGGCGGTGGCGAGGAAGGTTGGGTCTTTGGTCCAGGTGTAGGTTTGGGCGAAGCCCATGATTGCCCAGGCTTGGCCGCGGGTCCAGGTCGAGCTGTCGGCGTGGCCTTGGTTGGTCATTTTGGCGGTTGGTTGGCCGGTGTGGCGGTTGAAGTTTACGAGGTGGTAGGAGGAGTGGTCTGGACGGAGGATCTGGGAGACGATTGTGTGGGCGTGTTGGGTGGCGAGGGCGATGAGGGTGGGGTCGTGGTGGGTGTGGCCGATGTAGTAGAGGAGGTCGAGGTCTATGGGGGCGTTAGTGATGTGGTGGTGGAATAGGGGGAGGAGGGGGGGAGGATGAGGATGAGGATGATGGATTAGAGGGGGATAAGGAAGAGAATTCGAGGAAGAAGAAGAAGAAGAAGAAGAGGGAAAAGAGGAAGAGAAGAAGTATAGGGATAAGAAGAGGAAGAGGCCAGAAGAATATCAAAACAGGGGAGGGAATATCTAGACAAGATGGCATGGAAAGACTTACTGCACATGCTATCTATAATCACAATGAAATTATCCTCCATCCCCGTAATCGAATACCGATTATTCACCGCTTCATCCCAACTCCTAATCGCCTTGACCTTGTCATCATACCGCGACGCCAACGCATACGCCGCATTCGTTACCGCCTGCAAGCTCTCCTTGTTTCCCGTCAACTCCCAATCCCTCTGCAGTGCCGGCTGCACAATAAACCCCATATCATGCGTGTCTGTTCGCTTCGACATCTCGCGAATCGCCACGCCATAGTGCCGCCCCAGCTTCAGCAGGTGGCTCTGGAACCCGGGGCGAATGTGCGGCGGGATGGAGAGGGATTGGGGGAACCGCATGGAGCGCTCGAGCAGTGCGTAGATGCAGCCGGGAAAGAAGCCACAGGTCCAGAAGTCGGCTTCACGTTCCTCGTAGCGGCCGGATTCGGGGCCATCTTGGGGGACGGTGTGAGGGTAGGTGGTTAGGGGGCTGGGTTTGAGAAGGCCGCGTTGGGCGACTTGGAGGATCTTTGCAGCGATGTTTTCAGAGAAGGCTTTGGTCAGGTCTATGCCTCGGACGCTGGGGATTGTGTTAGAAGGGAATGATTCTCTTGGTGTTTCTTGCTTGAGGGGGGATCCTTACGTTGGGGCTGGAGAGACCTGGCTCAAGTCCGACTGCTGATTGTTCGCCATGTTCGATTCGAGATTTGAGATTCAAGATCTGAGATTTGCACGTGTGTAACAATGTCAAGACGGAATCCTGCAGTTATTGTCTGGGATTAGCAAAATATGCTTGGTTCCTTCAGGCCTCCCGCAGTCGACTGCTTAATGTACGAGTGTTATTACAACCTGGATGTCTTGTAAAGGAAGCTCAGTGGCGGGATTCCACGCTCAGCCAAGTTGCGGCTGTCTTGTCCCAAGCATCGTCCTCAGCGCACCTGTGGTATGATGTGTGAATATCTAGGCGGGGCGTTACTATCGATAGCGGGCCATAGAGTCTGAAGCTGGAGTGCAGATTACATACGGAATCGGTATTAGCCCGATGCCCGCGGTGCAGGCCGCCAGGATCCCTTTTCCAGCCACCTTCCGCCTTCTGAAGCGTCGCCGCAAAGATACAATGTCGTTCACTCAACCGCGGTACCGGAAGGACTTCCTTTCATGTCAAAGCGCAATTAGTGTCTACTACGCCACAGGATCTTCCTAGAAGGATTCTGTATGCGATCCGAACGGCGTAAAGACTACATAGGCATTCAGAATAACGGTAAGCCAGATTTCGGAATCTGGGAATGGTGACCGAAGTACATGCGCTCACGTGCAGTTTTTGGTAGTAGCCGCTATACATATCCTACAGGGAGGTGACAACTACTGCACCACTAGACGAGATACAGGAGCAACTTGAGGCATTATCGGTCTCTTAATTGAATCCAGCTTGCAAAAGATTTCCAAGCCGAGGGGGGGTGTCAGACAGAGCACGGTTCCGTGAACACCGAAAAGAACACGCAATCACGAGCTAGCGCTCCCCCGTCAAAAAGAAGGGGCTGGTGACGGGCGTAATCCACACAACACACACACACACATACAAAATACAACATTAGTTTTATCCTTCACCATCTTAAGTATTAGATCTAACACTAATCTTAATAACCATCATTATCATCATCATTACAATAATGGTCTCCGCAAACTTCTCGAGGCGTTTCGCCACAACGAGATCCCATAGCTTGAGCTTGTGTACAGTAGTCATGCACCTAGTATTTTGTTAGACTAAGGGTGCACTCAAAAATGTGTCAATGTGAATATTAACTTACTTCTTTCCAGAATCAAGACCACACTTGATAACATTGCCATTTTGGTGCATAG